CTCGTGGCCTCACCGGTTACGAAGGTCTAGTTTTCATTGTGTGGCCGTGTTTTGGAGAGAAAAAAAATGCCAAAACTCTCACGCCAAAGAGAATCCCAGTCTTTTAAAAGCAGATAGAAATAATAACGACAAGACGTGTCTCCCATCTGACCCATTTCCCAAATCCGTGATCTTACTTTCGAAATGCACGTCACTCATATTCATGGGGTTACTTTTGCTATTTCTATACTATAATTTTGAAAGCAACAGACGTACATTACTTTTGAAATAGATCTTCATTAATCTCAGGATGTCAAAATGTAACTTTCTTGTAACTCATTACTTCCAGGCTATGATCTACGGTTTCAAACAGCTGCCAATCAGAGGTGTGCAGAAAAAACAGGATTTGAAGGCAACGTCTTTCCCCAGGCCTTAAAAAAAGTAGCTTTTTTTCTGGACTAGAGGTTCTGGAATCTGATTGTGTTGGCCGGTGGATTTTGGGAACTGTAGTGCAGATAAATGATTACTCTAAACCAGTGGTTCTTAACTTTGTTACTCGGATGCTTTTGAACTGCAACTCCCAGAAACCCCAGTCAGGACAGCTGGTGGTGAAGGCTTCTGGGAGTTGCAGTCCAAAACTCCTGAGTAACCCAAGGTTAAGAACCAGTGCTCTAAATGTCTGTTTCTTCCCCCCCCTTTTTGAATGCAACATCACATAAAAACCCAATTCTGAAAGGTAGGAATTGCATTGTGGCCATGAGGGAATGGGATTTTTGGATTTCCTGGCCTACAAATCCCATAATTCTTCATTCTGTAAGTTCTATCTGAAAATCCCATCCTAAATGGCTGTCTTCTAAAATGTAGCATTTTTTAAAAAAAGGTTTTAAATATGTACATGTTGTAGTTTTTCATCTTACAGTGGTGCCACGCTTGACGACGACCCCGTTAGATGACAAGATCACTTTACGATGACTTTTTTGCGATCGCTATAGCGATCGCAAAATGATGTTTCTATGGTTTTTTTTTCACTTTACGTCATTTCGGTCCCTGCTTCGGGAACCGTTTTTTCGCTAGATGACGACGATTAAAAACAGCTGATCGGCAACACAGGGATCGTAAAATGGCCGCCCTAATGATTTAAAACAGCTGATCGGCAACACAGGGATCATAAAATGGCCGCCCTATGGAGGATCTTCATTGGACGATCAGGTATTTTCCCCATTGGAACGCATTAACCGGTTTTCACTGCATTCCAATGGGTTTTTTTCGCTTGACGACAATTTTGCTTAACAGCGATTTTCCTGGAACAGATTATTGTAGTCAAGTGGGGCACCACTGTAATTCATTTGTTTTAACTGACATTTGATCTTTTTTTTATGCCGCCTCAGATCGCCACTAGGAAAGAAAGGCAGGATACAAATCAAATCAACAATAAAATAAATAAAAAGAGCATGTTGCGGGTGTAAGTAAAACCACAAACACAACTATTCAAAGAAACTGAAAATAGAACTTCCTCTCATTCCCCCCCC